TTAAGAAAATATCACTTTTTTTAAATTTAGATGTATATTACACAATGTTGAAATTTAATGCTATATATAATGCGGTGAGGTCTTTAAATAGAACTATTAAATTCAAATTTGAAAATTTTAATGTATATTCACTTGCAAATACAGATATATCGTCCAATTTCACGAAAGAGCCAGGTGCAAAATTGCAACACGATTCCTGTATTGTGATACACACATGCGAAAAAATGCGCCTATTTCAACATGAAATCTTTTTATAAAAAAAATTTAAGATCATTTCAAAACATAAATTTATTTTATTTTATATTGTTTATAACACTTGAACAAAAATTATATATTAGTTATTTGCAAGTGTCTTTTCTTATTTTGATAATTTTTTATTTATGCAGCAATGTTCCCCAAAAACCAATTTTTGCTAGATTACATATTCTAGATCCATAATCCCTAGTTTAAATCTAGTATCACTACTGCTTGACATCGAGCGTGCAGATGTGAAATTCGAACCATTAACTATTGGTTACTAACGCACATTTTTATCAAGTCCGGTTCAGTATTCTTAATATTCTATGAATTTGAAAAACTTATATTAAACAAATTAAAATTTCACAATTTAATCTATATTGGTCATCAGCTGGATAGACACAAAAACCTAAAGAACAACATTAACAAGCCTTGTTTTCACATGAATAAAAGTAGTAATAGAAATAAATGTCGTACAAAACATCTTTAATTAGAGTAGAAGAATGAACATATACAATATTATAAAAATAATGTGGTTATAATTTTTGGATATAATACATATTCTTGAAATTAATGTAGTATACAATGTCCCTTTACGGCTGACAATTGTAAATTCCTCAAATTTACTAAATATCCTTAACTGGACAATTGTAAATAAAATAGAGAATAAAAAAAAGAAAAAAATGACTGAATTTAAACAATCAACATGTTTGCTACATTTTTTTATTATTGATTCTGGACAGCAATCCGAACTTAAGCTCTAAGGATAATTCGACCTATTACTACGTCGGATTTACAGATGGCAACCCAAACAGTTGTCCCATCTCTGTGTGATAAATTTTATTATTACAATTTCCGTAATAGGGCGAATATTATATTGATGCAACAATGCCGGATGAGTGCTATTTTCACTTATAAACATATTGTTATTTATACCACCAAGTGAAAACGGATGTCACTGCTGCTTGACATCAGGTTCCTCGAAGAGCGATCGAACACCGGACCTCTCATTCAGGTCCAGTCGCTCAAGTTGCGTACCCACGAGTGAGCCCTGTGTTTGATATACGGCACAAAGAATAGTAAAAATTCTTAACTATTCTGGTTAAATACACAATTTGTTTATCATATTTTTGTTTTTAATTGTGCCATCTTAACTTCTTTTGCAAATTTGATTGTAAATGTGAACTCAGCCCGTTACTCTTGATCCGTTACATAGTCGCAATTATTATTCTTAGCGTTAAGCGGCATTTTCTCAGTGCGCAATTGCGAAATGAATAAAAAAACAGTAATGTAGCGATTTAGCAAAAAGTTGCCCGCTTGTTTTATATTATGGAAGCGAAGAAACGCGTGCGTAAATGCAGATGGCAAATGTTCAAAGTAAATATAATACACATGTGAAGAAACCGAACCGTAATAATATAAATATTTATTTCCTTAAACAAATAAGCGAATCGTTAATGTTGGCTCATATTTCTGTGTCAAACGCTTAGTAATCGAAATGATAACAAACAACTGTCTCGCTAATTGATAGTTGAGGTTTTGAAAGGTGGGAAACATATGTTCGTAGGTAAGAGAAAAATGTATGCTAACATATGTTAGTAATAGATACGTTTTTGTTTACATCACGTGTAATGAATAGGTTTGAAAGGCTAACAAAAATACGATGTAAAACTTGATTCTTTTAATGATTCTATATACAAACTCATATTGATATAATACTGATTTTGCAACGCAATTTTCTACAATTTATTCAAACATGTCTAATACATTTTTTGCATTATAAGTTTATCATAAATTCCCCCTTTTATTAAATTCCCCAAGTTTTCTTTATTTTTCTGATTTTGTTGAAAAGCGATCAGAACTTCAGTTTGAGTCCTATGAGCTTCTATGTTGATTCTTCTTTATGTAGTTTATTTTAAAAGACAACCCAACGGTTGTCCTATCACTATGTCAATTTACCTTAATGCCGGGTAAAGACTATTTTCACTTTAAGTAGCTTTTACTTATTTATACCAAGGACAATACATAAGTTCGAATCATTTTAAAATCCATTGTTACATATGGTGGTTATTATTACATTACACTTCGGCATATTTCATTGTTTCCATTAATATTCCTTATAAAAAAGTAAAACTATTTCAAATATTTTACATTATAATTGGCAGTTCTAAAATATAATAAAATTATTGTATTCGGAAAAATTAGGAAAGTCTGCCAAATTACCACATCCTACTTTGCATGTAGCTTTTAAAAAATACATTGTAGAGAAATGCGGACAAAATTTAAAAATTTGCTAATTTTATTAACGTTTCCGCGATTGTATAACACAAAGAAAGCCATAATCACAATGCTGTCAGATGTTTAGCGTCATTGTCACAGTTTTATCGCAGTGATCGATAAAAAGGTATTTCGCGCCTTCAAAAGTTTAAATGTTTAATTTAAGGGTGATTTTCTCGAGCTTTTTGGGGACTTATTTATTGCTATTTGTAATTATTTATATTAAAATTAATGAACTCATGCCATGATTTTGATCATTTTTTTGCAATTATGAGGTCTTTTATGGAATTTCGATTAATTATTCTTTTTTGATCAATTTCGGACAAAATGACATATTTATACAATGGACAAAATGACATAGTGATAGCCATAGATAAGGAAATGACATTTCAATATATCCTTAACCTGTCATTTTCTCCGTACTATATGGTTTGCATTTTACCTTAATGTTATTATAGTTCCTACTTAATTAAAATACTATCTTACTGGTAGTCAATTAATCTAAGATGAGTAAAAACGATTGTAACTGGTTATAATATCATTAACTAAATAAATATTAAAAAAAAAACATCATGCCATTTTGTTCATACTTCCCCTATATAAACCGCCTGGTTTCTATAATAGTATAATAAAAATAATCATTTTTCAATGAAAATCAATTTTAATAATTAACAAATAATCAAATTAATTAAAGAAAACAATAATGGGATATTCAGTTCAATCTGTAGCATTTTAAAATATGAACAAACAAATAATTAATATCTAAATAATTAAAATGTTCATTTACAAAATGATTAAATGTTTTGAAGATTAACTGGCATTGAATAACAACCAAATAATAACAAACGCTCACAACTCATTTGTTATTGATAGATACTTTTAATTTTGTACTATTATGAAGTAAATATTTAGAAAACATAATAATTAAAAATGATTGCACAAGGGAGATTAGACGTTTCAATAAACAATATTGATTAAAACATACTTTTAATTAGTATTTCAACTATAACAATAAAATAGTGTAAATTGATATGATATTTGAAGAACACAAATAAATGCGATATATACTTTTAAATATATAAATATAATTATAGATAATAATAATCATTCAATAAACTTTAGTTTAGTCTTTTAAGAGATGTAAGATGAAATAATTTATTTTATATACATATTTTTGAAGTTATAAAAAACTGGTAATGAGAATTACGTGAAATCATGCTAGTTCTCAAAAATATTAATTGACGTTTAATTATGAATTTGTCCTAAATAATATAGAAATACTAATCGTCTGGTATAAAATGGAGATCAAAAGTATACCATAATAGATTATAGAATGTTATTGTTCTGATTGCCATTCGACATATTTATAAAAAAATACTAATTAATTTAGCGAATACTATTGCACTTGAACATAAAACGTTTATATAATTTTATGTAGTTTATTTAATAATTAAATAAATGCAGCTTAATTTTTATGAAATCTTTCCAAAGTTACTAATGTTGCTAATGCATTTGAAGTATATATTGGTAGATAGATATAAAATTATGATCTGGCAATAGAAAAATTGTTGTGCAAATTTCACTTGCAGAAGGAAATGATAAGAAATAGTAAAACTATCGTTCAATATTAATAATTTAGTGTAATATTGAGAACGCAATGGTAAAATTTTAATAATTCCTTTAAAATTTTAACAGTGCAACTATGTATTAAATCACAAATATTTTTAAACGCATTTCTGCATCAATAAAAAGTTTGACCTATTAGATTAATTCTAATAACAAAATAATCAAATATGAATTAAATAAATATGGAAATTGGGTTACCATCTAAAAAATACGAAGTAAGGAGAAGGTTCTGCTCAACAGCTCATAAGAAAAAAAAAAGAATTTCTTTAATTTGTTATATTTGGTATTAGAAAATTGTTTTGCAAATTTTACTTTTCAGAAGGAAATGATACAAAAATTATATAATTATTTTTTAATATCAATAATTACATTGCATGCACTATGCAATAAAAAATTAAATTGCTTGAAAACGCATTTCTTCAATTTGTTATATTAAGTAATGTTCCAAAAATATTACAATTACTATTATTATTTAATATCAATAATTTATTATATTTAATATCTTGAGAAACCAATGATAAAATTTTAATAATTACATTGCTTGCACTATGCAATAAACAACTAAATTTGCAAAAACTCATTTTTTAATTTGTGATATTCGCATACATTAGACAAGTGTATTGTCAATTAATATAAAATCAGTTATAGTTTAAGACAATACTGTTAAATGGCTTGTCATGATTGTCCAAATCTTTTTTCTACTTCGTCACATTGGATACAATCTAATATATCCTTTTTAATAAAATATTTCCAGTATGCTATAAAACACAGATGTCAACGCCATGCCTGTGTGCAAAAATCTCATAATCGTTTTGCGGCGGGTTCACATAAATATCCGCTTGTAAACATTTACCATTTACCTTGTGTCATATTGCCGCGAAGGGCTTCCGCTCTTGTGTCCAGTGCGAAGGTGATCCAACATAAGAAAACGAGTGCGATTTTATCCATATTGTATCCATATCACATAGTCCACATCACAAAACATCATTCTTCACACATCACATTTTAGCAAATAAAAATATTCAAATATGCGATCTGATCCGATCGATGTGGTAACACTAACAATGCAGTTTACTACACTCGTGCGCTCGTAGCAGGTCTGACTCTGACTTTGCGTCCGCATTCGCGCTGGTACACATAGCAACTGGTTTGTGTTTTGTGAGACGCTGTGCCGTGGTCAGACTCAGAATGCTTTCACCGCCGGTCGTGTAGTAGTTTAGTGTTGTGTGTTAGTCGGTTGTTTTGCGATGGTGTTGGTGATGGTTACTTGTTATGTGTCTGTTAACTGTACCGCGAAGATAAACGAAGACATGGTCGCGGTCGCTGCCTGGCTGCCAGAAGACACTCCGCGAGATATCCACGTGGTCGCGACGAGAGCACGAGAAAAAAATAAGGTGTTTCTCACAAGAAAAAAACATTTTCTCTACTATCATAGCACTAATGCAGGTGAAAGAGCACGATGGATTTGTAACAGGTGAGGACAACGTTTCGATGTCTCGCTTAGGAGTAAACTAGCTGTAAGTGGAATTCTGTCCTAAGGCAATTAAGGCATCGTGCCTTAAGGCAAATCATAAAAAAATTATTATTTTTTTAGAAGAGATTAATATTTTTGAAAAAATTTTACTTCGAAAAAATTAGATTTTTGAGAAACAAAAAAAAATTGTTTGAAAAAAAAAGTTTTCTTTATTTTGGCATAGTTTGGAAATTCTGAACTTTTTTTCAAAGCAATCGTACTGCTGTAACTGCATAGAGACGAAATGTCAAAGCGCATAAGCGCCGCGTCGCCGTCTAATGGATAAACATTGGTACGGAACCCATAGGAATGTAAACAAAATTCATACTTATTGTAAAAATTTCTATAAAATATCTGACAATTTGATGTGCATATGTCTAATGACCATTTTGGACCGCCAAATGGCTTTTTGTTTTTTTTTTTATTAGATCTCCGAAACCGTTTTTTGAATTTTCAAAATCGGACGCTCCGTTCTCTTAAAAACCCCTTTTGGCACTTTTTGCCCCGTATCTTCGGAACGGCTAGACCTGCCTCCACCAAAAACTAATCAGCACGTCTCTCTATCAGTGCGAATCGAATGTTTTTTAAATTATTTAAATCGGTTGATCGGTGTTCTCGAAATCGTCGACGAAAATTTGTATCCGAACGCACACACACACACACATACATCCATTTTTTCTAAGATATGCCAAAATATTCAGAAATCTTTGAAACGTCGAGAAATGCAAAAGTTTTCATTTTCGATTTTTTTGCGATTACTATAACTTACCCTACGGGAAGTTAATAAGTGCCCTTACCATCCTCAATGAAATTTGGAGGGTTTTGTTGTAATTTTTACTACCTCATAAAGTAAATGATTATATTTATCTTTTAATTGATGAAAGAAGTGATGCGTTCGCATTTAAATGCGCCCTAGTTAAAAATGACGACTTCTAGTATATGGCAATGTGCATTTTTGTGTTAGAGATAAATCTTAAAGTACTGAAATTATTAAAAATTACAAAACCGAGCGAAACCAGAAAAAAAATTGGTTAATTTTTTTAAAATTATAATTTTTAAAACATCTATAGTCATTTTGATTTTTTAGACAATCTTAAAATTTTTAAATCTTTTGAAGTTAGGGAGTAATTAATAAAGTGTGTCTTAAAGGGGGAGGGGCAATTCACAAAATATCACTTAAGGGAGGGCGTGTATTTATATCATGTGTATTTATTTTTAATGAATTTTTTTAAAAAAAACAGTATTCTTCAAAAAAAAATATATGTATTAAAATTTTACGATTTTTTCTAGGTACTAAAATGCACGTGATGTTTGTTAGAGGAAAGAGTTAATTTAAATATCGCTACGTATCATCAAGGGAGTGGGGGTTTCAAAAATCTTTAGAAATCGATTACGTAATTCATGGACAGCTCCTTATCTGATTATTTTAAATATATTCCTAAAATTCTAAGACCCGACTACAATCCTGTATTCTAATCCCTCAGCAAACAGTTCTTTAATCAATTTACGTACAAAAAAGCATTTATTTTTTGTAAATCCACTTCGAGCAGCCTGTTGTCAGGAAGCAGTGACAACGATTTTCACTTAGAAATATAGATAGTAATATGTTTCCAAGTGAAACTAGCCCTCACCCGGCATTGCTGCACCAATAAAAATACTTGCCCTATTACAGAAATTATAATAATTATATATATCATACAGAGATGTGACAAGTGTCAGACTAGTATTAAGTCAAATCAGCACAACAGCTTATAGGACTATTGGGTTGTAATTGCTGTTCAAAAATAATTATAAAAAAAAAATTTTTTGTAAATAATTATTATTTATGTTTATTTTAAGTAACTTACGAAAAAAATATTAATATTTTAATTGCGATTGGGATATTTGAAAACAAAGTATGTAAAGTAAGTAGTACTACGCAGAGTTCACGATGCAATATAATAATCAATGGCAATAATTTACAATCCAATGTGAAAGATACGGATTTAAAATATTTGAAAATTTTTATTTCTATATTAACCGGGACTCGCACAAACCATTAATATTTTGAAGGAATGATCGTAGAGGTTATTGACAATGATAGACTGACAATGAATAATATTGTATATATTGTCTTAAACTTAAAAAAAAACACATTTACATTATCACTGAATTAAAACGGTCTTGTGCTAAGTTCCTGAAAGTTAAAGATGCTAATCTGACACTGAAATGTTTTTTTTTATAGTCGAGTTAGTGCATTATCTCAAAGTAGGTAAAAAACTACTAGTTTAATTCGAAATACTTAAAATAAATTTTAGAAGACTTTAATGTGAATCTATCCATGATGTTTAGTAAATCAAAATGCATTTGAGTATGTCAGATAAGTATCAAATTCTCAACGTGACTATATATGCAAAATATGTATATACATTCATGTAATATAAAAAAAAATTGAATATGATAATTCGAATTCGAATACCTTGCGAGTGGGGTCTAATAATATTTTTTTTTACATAAACAAATTATTGCACTTTCTAAAATTTGTAGCATTTGTTTTTAATTCAGCGTGAGATATTTCTTTTACGAGGCAGGATATCTGCCTCGTGAGTTACTCGGACAAACTAGAAGCAGATTTGATTAACAATTGCTTTGCGAATAAACATATATACTAATGTTATAAAACTTGGAATCTGTAATCATTTGAGACTATTGCTTCCCGAATAGCATCGTGTGAATATGCATGCTTACGTTCTATATCTATCGTTTTGTTATACTAGTAAATTCTATACATTTTTTGATAATGGTATGATAATAAAATGATATAACGTCTAAAAATTTTGTAATCAATTTTGTTTATTAATAATAATTGTTCACTAATCAAACATTTGCAAATTTTCGCTAGTGAATACTATTTCAAACATTTAAAAATTTTGCTGCACGTATTCTTATCGCTGTGTTTATTATAAAATAATATAATTAGAATAATTATAAAAACTGCATTGCAATTGATGAAACATATACATACATATGCACATACATCATCTAATATATATATATATATATATATATATATATATATATATATATATTAGGTTGTCAAATATCTCCCTTCCGCTTTTTTGCTCTTGGTTTATAATACAAAAAGGCGGAAGGGAGATATTTGACAACCTAATATATATAAAATAAAATGAATGAAAAGCTGAGTTAAACTCCAACTAGATTTTCCATTGCCATTGCACACCGCAGTGCCTGTGATGGGCTTTTTTTTAAATAAAAACATATTTTTCATCTACATTTCCAAGTGAAAATGGACATCACTACTGCACGACATCATACGATCATATGATCAAAGAATTCAAACGCATTCAAACGTCGACAAAATCTTTACACGTAAAAATCGTTCATAGTAAATATTGAATATTTAATACAATAAAAAATAACTGTATCTTATAAAGACGTTCAGGTTGACTTTAGACATTGCGGAGTATTGCAACTTACAATTAGTCTAAACATGTATGCTTGTTTCTTCAAACAAGGAATATATCGATTGGGTTGCCGAAACCTGAATTATAAACTGCTTCGATGTTTTTTCACGTTCATGTTATAATCGCTAGCCGTGTTGGAGAGTTTAACGGTATTTTAATTTGATTACATGCGTATCGATACTACAAATCGTCTTCGTCACTTCAGTTCCTTTTCAGTATGTGATGCGTTGTTTATATTGGACAACTGGACTGTAAATGACTGAACTATTAAGCCTTATTTAATATTACGATGCAATAAGCATTATACCGTACGGATGTGTGAATCTGAAATCCCTCTAAACGATTATTTGAATTTTGATGAATCTTTTTAGAGTTTGTCGAGGGCAATTTTTAAAATTTAGTTCACTATGAAATTAGTAGTAAAATTGAAAAAAAAAAAAATGGAAAAAATTGCAAGAAACAACACATCATTGTTTGACATAGAAAACATTTTGAAAGATGAGAACTGTCACCTGCCAGAAATGCCAATTTACTTGAAATTTGAATTTATGCTAAATTATGAGCCTAGACAACATTAGAATATGATAAACGTAAATATTAGTATAGGATATTAAAAAAATTATAACTTTTGAATTGTAGACGTTTGTACAGAACAACGTCTGTCGGGTCGGCTAGTATATATATATATATATATATATATATATATATATATCTTTTAAGTATCATAATATAGATCGAGGTATTAGTCTTCCGGCCAATTCTGCCGCAAAATAGACAATGTTATGGCAAGGGTATGTTGCGCTGCATTTTGCATATAAAATGGTATTAAAAACTGTCTAGTCAGGCGTTTTAGACACAAAATCTAACCTAGAAAACGAACAAACTTCATATATTTTTTATCATAAGTCCATCTTTCTGACGTGCCATAATAATACATCCGAGAAGTTAGATTTTATGTGTAAAACGCCTAATAGCACAGCAACTATACAGCACTTTGGCAGTTTTTAGAACCCTTTTATATGAAAAACACAGCGTAACATAGCCTTGCCAAAACCATTGGCTATTTTACGGCAGAATTGGCCGCTTTATTTGAGATTAAAATTTAATATTTCAGTTACCCAAATAATTCATAT